GCCAAACTTAGTGTCAGGCCCATTTGTCCGAGTAATGTCCACCGGCACTGGATAGAAGGGTACTATATAGTCCAAACTTTCTTCAGGGACACCTGCAGCACAACACATCTGTGTAATCAAACTACCAAAAGCATACCAGTGCCTTTTGTGAACCCGGGCCTTACGCAAAGCACATTTCACAATATCTCCAATGTTCAGCTCCGTGCCAGTCATCAAGGAATATACCAAGCACACCCTATCACGAGTGATGTCGGTGTAGTGGAGCCCTGGTATTAGACAATTTATGACAACTTTCAACCAGACGCGTGTCTGCCTAAGAATGTGAGCGTAGGGAAGAGATTGGTGATATCTCTTCCAACTATGCTTTGTCCAATGTGCAATGGACTATGGACCGCACAGAGTGTGTCGGATGGCCTATTAAGGATGGCGTATGATTAACCCTATTAGCACGAGTGGGTCTGCATCTTGTGGTGTCCCTAATATATCATTTATACCTGTGGGTAGGGATGTGCAAAAACTGAACCGACCGATAAACCGAACCGAAAAAGTGTTATTGGTTTGTTGCTATTGGGTTATTGTGTTAATGGTTTCTTAATGGTTTTATAAAAAAAATATCGGGTTATCGGTTTGGTATTGGTTTTCAATATTCGGTTATTGGGTAAATCGATAACCCATTAAGAGTTAAGACTATAGTAATTTAATACTTTTACATATACATACATATTAATAAATATTAATCTCAATATGTTAATAGTTATGTCTTTTTCATTTAGCCATCAATTCATACTTCGCTGTGACTTTGAGTTCACAACTTTACATTATACAAATCGTCAAAACCTAAAGTAAGAATCATATTCCTCTTTATTTGACATGTATAGTTCTTTTCATGTTTGTTATTATTATTTATAAATGATCTTTTGTAAAATTACATTATTGTCTTGTCGTATCAAATTTATTAGATAAGTCATATATTTGTTTTATAAGCATATTCTTATTGGTTAAACAGAAAACCAAACCGTTAAGGACCAAAATTGATAAATCAAAAATCGATAAAAAAATATCTTATTAGTTCGTTATTGGTTTAGCGTATTTAAAAAATGAAAATCGATAAACCGAATCGATAATTCATAAAACCAAACTGAATTGTCCGATGCACACCCCTACCTGTGGGTGTGATGGGCACATTCCTTCCTCACACCGTCACATAATGGGATCTCACCTTTGGTGCCCAGTTGGTGTAGAACTCTCGAACCATGTGCAAGTTGCACTCTGTTGGGTCAACGAAGAAAAACTCCATCCCTAGCGCTCTAATCCTCCTCAAGATCTGTGGGAATTCACGTGTCAGGCTGTCCCTGTCAATAAAAACGTCAGAAAAATATGACTCCTCAGTGTGCTTTTTGTACCATGCTCTGGCTTCCTGAGTGACCGCTTTGACCCCAAACCGTCTAGTTTGTCCTTGGGCACAGTAGGTGCAGGTGGGACATTTCCACTCTGGACGCGTTTCCTGTGGCTTGACGTGGCCATTTCCTTGCCGGGTCTTTGTGAACTTGACATGATTACCTGCCAAATATAGCAAAGTTATGCCCAAATGACTACATAACAATGATAAAAATATGGGTGGTGTGCCACACTTAGTTCAAAGCAATTAGAAGCCTAGGTACTCAGACTTCCCATTAGCGTCTACACATACTCAATTAACACTAGCACACTTGAGCAATGACAAGGACATTCTACTCAAACTTCGAATCTACCCTTGCATTAGGAACAATCAAACTCAGGCAACCACACTACTAACTATTCGCATGCTAACTCCTGCCCCTCTGTAAATGTGCACACTAGCTAAACATATAGCATACAATCTAAGTCCAGCAGCCAACACACATGACCAACCAAACATAATGAAGTCATCTGAAATGTGAGTCAAAGAAATAAAATCACTCCCTATTAACTTAACCACAAACAATATCAATCAAGCTAACCCACGTGAGTTCTACCTTGATTTTGGTCACAAAACCTTTTGATACCCACAAGCAACCAAGAATAGGGTAGTTCTACTCAATAATTTGAACTATCTTTTAAACAATACAGAATATCACCACTGTGAACCAACATACTACTCCACTCTTCTCCTAGGCAGATTCATGACCTCCCAAAGCACTCACATGCAAGCAAAATTTCCATGAGGTTTTGCAAGATTTCAAACGAACTACTAAACATGTACACAAACCAAGCATAACCCATAGACAAGACCCATCAAGTTCGCCACATTAACCCACAATCCACATTCAAGTAACCAAAAGTGTATCTACTCAGACTTCGTAACACATCTAAGCAAACATGAAAACACACGACATTACAAACAGAAAACACACTTCCAAACCCCAACATACGATCAAAGAACAACTCATGTCAATACACCTTCAAACATGCCTAAAATCTCAAAAATGAAACAAGAGCACATACCTAGCAACACGTGGTTGTAGAAAAATGAAGAAGCGAAGAGCGGGTGATGCTGCACGATATGGAGTAAAATGGGAGAAGTCGCACAAGCCAAGAGGAGGGGAAAATCCCGTGAAATTTGGAGTAGAATGAGTTTGGGGATAGGGGATTTGGACTTAAAAAGGGGATTGGGTCGGGTTATTTTACATCCAAAACAGGTCGAACCCGTATTGTTTAATGAAAGACAAAACTTCATACCTGAGGGAGCGACACGGCCATGGTACGGAGTCCTCTGGAAATTTAGTTCCAGGAAATACCAATATTTATCCCTTGCTCTACGACGTGGGACTAGCATGGAGTAGCCTTTTCTTGACGTAAACACTAAGTCCCATCGAATTCAAAATTTGGATCCCCATCCGCAACGTGGCAACTACATGGAATGTTCTGCCTCAAATTGGAAAATTAATTCCAATTGAGGCAGTGGCTCCGCGATGAGCTATGGGTCAAAATACTTGATCCCTGCACATTGTAAGCTCATAACCTACTAGGGAAAACACGATGGGTTGCCTCCTATCGATCGCTTTAGTTTTGGTCATGGCACGACTTATTTATTTGTATTTTTTATCGATTTATCATTTTTTTTAATTCCTAAGAATTTAAATATCAAAACAAAAGTAAATAGATCCTAACTATTACAAGGGGTCACAATTTGCCTCTTGTGTAGCGCCTGATTTAACGTCGCAACACGACCCATCTCATGACTCATTCGTCATTTAAAGTGAGCGCTTCAAGCTCATGATCCATATCATTTCTGAAATAGTGTTTGACCCTTTGTCCATTCACAAGGAAAGTAGAACTCGTGTCCTTGTTCCTTAACTCTATAGCACCATGTTGGGTCATTCTCACAACTTCAAAAGGACCACTCCACTTAGACCAAAGCTTTCCGGGGAACAACTTCACCTTGAGTTAAACAATAGCACTAGTTGACCAGGCTCAAATGTGCGTGACACAATATTCTTGTCATGCCACCTCTTGGTCTTCTCTTTGTACAACTTAGCATTCCCATAGGTGTGAAGCCTAAACTCTTCTAATTCATGCAGCTGCGTTATTTTCTTCCTTCCGGATAACTCAACATCAAGATTCGACTTCTTGATCCGCCAATATGCCTTATGCTCTAATTCAGCTGGTTAGTGGCATGCTTTTCTAAACACCATTCGATAAGAAGAAGTCCTTATTGGTGTCTTCTATGCAGTCCGGTATGCCCACAAGGCATCATTTAGCTTGTCAACCCAATCTTTTATTTGGGAATTCACCGTTTTCTGGAGAATCTGCTTGACTTCTCTATTAGACACTTCCACCTACACACTAGTTTAGAGATGATATGTTGTAGCCACCTTGTCTCTCACCCCATATTTGGTTAACAAATTATACACTGAATTGTTAATAAAGTGCATACTTCCATCACTGATCATAGCCCTTGGAGTTCCGAACCTCGTGAAGATGTGTTTTCGGATGAACTTCACAACCACTTTAGCATCATTGGATGGTAATGCAACAGCCTCCACCCACTTAACGTAGTCCACTGCGACTAGAATGTATTGATTTCCACGGGACGATGGGAATGGTCCCATGAAGTCTATCCCCCAGACGTCAAAGATTTCCACCTTCAATATGATGCTCAAGGGCATCTCATGCCGTCTCGAAATGGTGCCCATCCTCTAACACTGGTCACAACCCTTAACAAACATAGCATCATCTTTAAACATAGTAGGCCAAAAGAAACAAGATTGCAATACCTTATGCACAGTTCGTTCACCTCCGTGGTGTCCACAATATGGTGAAGAGTGATAACTCTCCAACATTTGTGTAGCCTCATCTTCAGCTATACACCTTCGCATCATCTGATTAGGTCCCTGCTTGAATAAGAAGGTCTCATCCCATATATAGAAGGGTGCATCATATTTTAGCCTCTGCTTTTTATTTGTTGATGCCCCAAGTGGAAATAAGCCACTCACCAGAAAATTCACAATATCAGCATACCAAGGCACTTGAGCAAGGTCCAAAGCAAGTGATTGCTCATCATGAAACTCTTTACGAATTTGCCCCTCATTTTTCACATGAGATGAATCCTCCAGTCTAGACAGATGATCAGCTATCTGGTTCTCAATTCCTTTCATGTCCCTTATCTCTAGATCAAACTCTTGTAGTAGCAGAATCAACCTAATCAGCCTCGGCTTGGCATCTTTCTTGTTAAACAAATTTTGGATTGCAGCATGATTAGTGTAGACTATAACTTTGGTTCCCACCAAGTATGATTTGAACTTATCAAAGGCGAACACTAGTACTAGCATCTCTTTTTCAGTCACAGTATAATTTGATTGGGCTGCATCAAGTGTCTTGCTCGCATAGTAGATGGAATGGAACATCCTATCTTTTCGCTACCCCAGCACTGCCCCAACCACTATGTCACTGGCATCACACATAAGCTCGAATGGAAGCTCCCAAATTGGAGAAATGAGAATAAGATCTTCTATCAACTTCTTCTTCAGTAACTCAAATGCCTACAAAGACTTTTCATTAAAAACAAACTTCATCTCTTTCTCTAACAGGCTGCACATGGGTCTTGCAGTCTTAGAGAAGTCCTTGATGAACCTTCTATAGAATCCAACATGTCCCAGGAAGCTTCTAACTCCCTTTACTGTGATGCGAGGTGGAAACTTCTCAATAACTTCCACTTTAGATTTGTCAACTTCCAACCCACTTTTGGATATCTTGTGCCCCAACACAATTCTCTCTCGAACTAGAAAGTGATATTTCTCCCAGTTTAACACCAGATTTGTTTCTTCACACCTAGCAAGAACTCTATCAAGATTAGTCAAACACAGTTCAAAAGACTCACCAAACACCGAGAATTCATCCATGAACACTTCAACAAAAAGTTCCACCATATCATGAAAGATTGACATCATACATCTCTTAAATGTGGTCGGGGCATTGCACAAGCCGAATGGCATGCGTTTGAACGCATACAGGCAAGTGAATGTAATCTTCTTCTGATCCTCTGGTGCAATAACAATCTGATTGTATCCTGAGTAACAATCTGATTGTACCCTGAGTAGCAATCAAGGAAATAGTAGTATTCTTGACCTGCCAGCCTATCCAACATTTGATCAATGAAAAGTACCAGATAATGGTCCTTTCTGGTGGCGTTATTCAATGTTTTGTAGTCCATGCAGATCCGTCACCTAGTCACTGTTCTTGTGGGGATTAACTCATTTTTTTCATTAGTCACCACTTTCATTCCGCCTTTCTTGGGCACACTGTACTGGACTTACCCATTTATTGCCTAATATTGGGTACACAATCCCTGCATCCAACCACTTTATCACCTCTTTTCTTACCACATCGTTCATCAATGGGTTTAGTCTCCGATGATGTTGTGCACTCGACTTATGCCCTTCCTCCATATATATTTTATGCATGCACAATGCTGGACTAATTCCATGGATGTCAGACATTTGCCACCCCAAAGCTATTTTCCTCTTCTTCATGATGATTAATGTTGCTTCCACCTGTGCATCAGACAATGTTGCAGACAAAATAATCGGTAAAGTTTTATCTTCACCCAGAAATGAATACCTGAGGTGGGCTGGCAATGCTTTTAACTCCATCTTGGGTGCTTCTTCAATGGAGGGCTTGGGTGGAGGACCCAACACCCTATTTAAAGGCTCCCATCGATCTCCAGATGTACCTACAAGTTCCACATCAACAAATTGCACAATTTCATGTGCCTCAGCATCCCCATAAATATCATACCCTACTAACACTCTCTATAAAGGGTCCTTAGATGCAATGTAGCGAGTCTCTGCCTCAAGATCTGTCACAGTTATAGCAGATAAATCCTCATACACAGTTGACATCTTTAATGTTTTATACACGTCAAACACCTCCACTTAATCATGTGTTCGCATAGTAAGTTGCCCAGCTGCTACATCTATCATAGCCCTCCCAGTAGCTAAGAACGGTCTTCCTTAGATGAACGGGACCTCAAGCTCAGGCTCAAAATTTAGCACAACAAAATCTACTGGGAGAATCAAAGATCCCACTTGCACTAACACATCCTCTACAACACCCTTAGGACCAGCTACAGACCTATTAGCCAACTGTAAGATAATGGTAGTAGGTTTAGGACTACCCAACCCCAGTTTTTTTAAAAAGAAGTCGGCATCAAATTTATACTAGCTCCTAGATCACACAATCCTCGAGCATGAATGCTCTGCCCTATAGTGATCTGAACCATAAAGCTACCTGGATCTTTCAGTTTAGTGGGCAACTTATTTTGGATTATGGAGATGCACTCTTCAGTAAGTGCAACAGTCTCATATACTGTTAGCCTCCTTTTATTGCCACAATCTCCTCCACATATTTCACATACCTAGGTATACCTTGCAAAACATCTACCAATGGCAAGTTAATGTTAGCTTCTTTCAAAAGAGAAATAAACTTACCAAAATATTCATTCTCCTTCTGTTTCTTGAACTTTTCAGGGAATGGATGAGGTGGTTTCACTATTGGTTGGGGTCGATCCCACAAGGAAATTGGTTTAGACTTAACTTTAACCAACAATTATATTCGTTTAGTCAAATTACTTCCAGAAACAAGTAATTAAAGGGGGGGGGGGATTTGTGAAACAAATTGTAAGAATTTAGTAAGTAATCAGTAAACAAAAGTCAATTTCGGTTGTTATCAAGATGAGAGAATTAACTACGGTATACGTGTTCCCCAAAAGCTCATAACGCAGTAATCCTAGTAATAGCAATCCTTTCCAAGTGTACTACATGCAAAGTGATAAGTTGGGTATCTCTAAATTCTTGATCCGACATCTAGAGAATTTCACCCCGCACCTTGGTCCGGCTACGTGTGTATAATTTACTAACCCTTACCTTACCTCATATTAGACAGCATATCGATGTTTAGCTTAGTTATTACTTCGCAGCAATCGACACTAGCCTATTAGATAGTATGACACTAAATCTATGGTGATAATTCTTTTCTTGTTGATTACCTCCTTGGTCCGGCAAGTAGCAACAAGGCGAGTTCTAACGTGTGAACTCGTTAAAAAGACTTCTAAATGAAAGAATTATCAATGCATGCAACAACTATATTCACGAATTACTTAGTTACTATTCATACTTTCTTAATCGCTCATGGTTCCCACAACCCTAGTTGTGGAGTTTAGTTACCGATAATCATATGAACACAATTCATTATTTTAGATGAAAGAATTACGAACTTACGTAAGAAGAATAATAAACCCAAAAATTCAACTTGAATTGCAACACAAAATTTTTCAAAAAGAACTTAGGAAATTAAGAATTGCTAAAGTTGCAAGCTAATCTCCCAAGTCAAGAACTAGAATAAAAGTAATAAAGTCTAACCCCCAAAAATGAGGTTTACATGCCCTATTTATAGAAAACAAGTCCTAAATTAAAAAGGGAAACAAAATAAGGAAAGTTTGTTCAGGCACGCGTCTTCATTCCACGAGATTGACTCACGGACCGTTAATGGATCTACGGTCCATGAGTCCCTTCTGTCAGCCAGGACTTAGAAAATATTTCAGCTTCCCAAAAATCAGCTTCTCTGAAGCAAACGACGGAACTCCAGTACGGAGCGTACATTGATCTATGGTCCGTCAATCCCACTCCGTAGCTCCACACTTAGAATCTTCAAACATCAGGTACTGGAATCCTTGCAATATCGTTCTATGGATCAATACTACGGTCCGTAGATCAATCTATGGACCGTTAATGGCCACCGTGGTTCCACACTTGGTCAAATTTCCCTGATTTTCTTTCCATGCCTTGCCTATTAATCTATGGTCACTATTTACGTAGCGTCAATGGGCTTACGGTCTGCAAATCACCTCCGTAGATGCCTTGTTCTGCATTTCTTTCAGATGTCTCTCTACTTCCGCACCTAAACATCTTTCCTGCAAAACATGATAAAAACACATAAAAAACCAATACAAAAAGGCCCTAGACACACACAACTCTTAAGTGAAATGTATTAAAAATACCGTAAACTCATGGTATATCATCCTCCTTGGGTTCACTCTCTGTACTCACAACATCAGTGTTTCTTTTCTTAGGAGCTAACTCCTCCAGTTGTAAACCACTGTGTACCTACCATGTTTACCTGCTTAGGATTTGGATCAGTGTTTCCCGGCAAACCTCCTTGTGATCGTGAGTTTTAGGCACTAGTAACCTGTCCGAATTGCTTCTCCAATTTCTGTGTAGCCAACATGTTATTTCTCACATCAGCAGCTAACTGGGTTTGATCAGCCATGATCTTTTTCACCATCTCCTCCATGCTCATGTTATCAGATTGCTAATTCACCTGCTCCCGTTGGGCCTGTGGTTGGTACACCTGTTGGGGTCTATATTGATTATTACCTTGACCCTGATTTTGATTTCCACCCCAAGAAAAGTTCGGGTGGTTGCGCCAACTTGGGTTATAAGATTTCCCATAATTCTGCTGGCCACCTCCTCATTGTGAATTTCCTACAAAGTTAACAGAATCCGGGTTTGCACCACATACCTCTGCGTTATGGTCACACCAAGATGATGGTTGTTGAACTGCATTTACCTGTGCGGGTTGTTGACCCAATGCTAGATTGCTGAAATGGGTGTTCATCAATTCTGCATAGCAGCAATCTGTGCAGTTACGGCGGTCATGATATCTACCTCTAACATACTTGTGATTTTCTGAATCACAGGTTTCACCCCTCCTCCGTTCCTTTTAGGGTTTCCCCGCGAGATCCTGTTTAGCAAGGTGAATAGCTCAACATATGTCTTCTCCAAAGCCTGACCACCTGCAGCTGACTCAAGTAGAATTTTTGTGTTAGGCTCCAATCCCTCTATGAAGGTATGGACTAAAACCTCATTAGACTAATGATGATATGGACAGCTTATCAACATCGATTTAAACTTGTTCTAAGCTTGGTATAAGTTCTCTCCGCCTTTCTGTCTAAAACTCAAAATGTCACTCCTCAACATAGCTATTTTTCTAGATGGAAAAAATCGGATGAGGAACTTCTGTGCTAGATCATTCCAAGTGGTGATTGAGTTTGCAGGCTTTGAGTTTAACCATATTTTTGCTTCCCCAAGCAGAGAGAAGGGGAATAAAGTGAGCCTCACATAATCTTCGTTTACTCCAGTTGGAGTGTAAGTATCACTAATCTCGAGGAAGTTTTGAATGTGTACTGTTGGATCCTTGTTTGACAGACCAGTGAACTGCCCATTAGTGTGCAATAGTTGCACCATACTCTGCTTTAGTTCAAACCTTCCACCAGCTACAGGTTTCTAAATTCATGATGTCACGTGGGAATGCCATGTCTCTTACCTTCATCTCAGCCATTATTTCAGGTTCTTCTTCCTAAACTGTTGCTACAAGAGATGTTGGTTCACTAGCAAAAACAAGGACTGGATAAGTAAGTCATCTTAGCCTTCTTCGGTAGTGTACGAATCTTCCCGGTTCCGCTTGAGGTGATACTAATCCTTGATCGTCGTCCAGTTTGAATTTCTAATACAACTCGAAACAATGAAATGCTAAGCTCAAGTTCTCAACACTTGCATTTTAACTTCAAGAATCAGAAAAATCAGATAATTTCTTATTCTAAAGTCCCCGGTAGCAGCGCCAAAAACTTGTTGTGCCCAAATCGCACACGCAAGTGCACGTGGTCGCTCAAGTATTAAAGTGGTTCTTTTAAAGAGACAGGTATTGCACCCACAGAGACTTACACTTAGAATCATTCATTTTCTCTAACTTTCAGCTAATCACAAGTGTTACCAAGATTTCAAAAGTGATTTAGTTTCTAATTCTAAGACTTCAACAAAATGTAGCAAACACCTTTCAATTTCAAGGGTTTAAAAATAGTGATTTGGTAAAGTCTAGGGCTGCAACTTTTATCAGAGTTCATGCAATCAATATCATTTATATGGGTATTTATCAACTATTGAATCAATGAATCAAAGTGTTAAATGTATGATCATGGTCTGCCAACCTCTAATCGCCTACGATAAATAACACCCTAACTACATCGTTGAGTGGGGATAGGAATGATTAAGTACCATGCATTACGATATTTTCCTGTATAGTGACCCAAGCATGGTTTCTCGGTATATCCCTATCCTATATACAAATTAACTCTAGTTATTTAGAATTAATTATTCTCCTTATGTCCCACGTTTTATCCTTTTATTCCTCTCCCGAGTTCAATTCCAACAATGTATTTATTTCAATGGTGATCAGTCACGAAATACGAAAAACAAGAACATAAGAAAGATTCATAAGATAATTGACATTAACACAATGAAAACTTAATAGATTACAATAATATTGTAGCCACAACCCTAAAACTAGGGTATTTAGCTACTCATAATCCAAGATACGATCAAGCAATGTTTAATAAACATAAAGAGATCAAAAGGAAAAGAGTTTAGGAAAGAACCTTTAAAATGGTGAACACGTTCTCCCAAGTCGTCGTTCTTCAAAACCCAGAAAAACAATATTTAATAAAATAAAATAACGACCTATTTATACTAAAAGTCGAAACTGCCAAAAAACTGGGGCTCAGGAGCGCGACGTGGGGGTGCTTCCCAGATTCACTTCAATGCATATTAGTCTTCTCCGCCACGCGGGCATTCCACAGAGTGCTCTGCCTCAAAGTTGACTTTTGCTAATTTAAATGTAATCCCTCTCTGCGATGCGGAGTCACCTCCATAATTCGATTTGTGAGAAAATGCACTTCTCCGCGACGCAGCTGCTACACGGAGGGCTCTGCCTCAATTCGCCATTTGACGAGCTAAACTAAAATTCCTCTCCGCGATGCGGAAAGGATGCGGAGATGCCTTGAGTGGCATTTTTTCAATCTTCTTCCTTGCTTCTTTTCGACTCGGATCTTTGTGTTCCCCATTGTCCATTTTCGATCTTGTTTCTCCAATTAAGCTCACCTACACAACTAATCATGTTGGTTAGCTCATACACAACAAAAATACTCGATAAGACTATAACCGTTGCATATTGAATTCAAACTTAGCTTAAATATGGGCATTATTAGATTCTTAGGCATATTTATATGCCTAAGATCATAGCACCTTGAGTTCCAAGAAGAACCAAAGAGAAAACATTGAAGTAATTCCTAGTTCTTCTAAGTTTTTGGGTCAACATAAAATAACCATAAATACTAGTACAAAATGAGTTAGGTGATATACAAGATGGAAAATTAAATCCCTTTGAGTCCTCTTTCCAACGCCACCGAGTTTGCTAAATTTCAAGCTCTGAGTGAAAAGTTATGACTTATTTACAAACGACGCGCAAACCTGGCAGCAACTCTGCGATGGCTCGGCGTTACAGAGCCAATACGGACCTCACTGCCTGGTGAAAAATTATGCTGACTCCCAGCTCGTTTTATTTATTTCTTTGGGGGTATTTTAGTCCTAAGAACCCTTAGTCATCTAAATTGCCCTAAACCTGTAGAAAATCAATTTTTCTTAAATCAAACCCTCTCATCCACTCCAAAAATTCTAACACTCAAGGAATTCAAGAAACACTAAGGCTGGTGTTCATCTTTCAAGATTTTCCTTCAAGTTGCTTCAAGAAGATGGTTCTTTCAGGTATGTAAGCTTCCATAGTGTTGGGTTTGTTGACTCACATGCCAATCATGTTAATTTTAGTGTTTAATTAGTTCTAGAAAGTTGAATCTTTGATGCTCTTGATATGTGTTCTTGAATTTGCTTTTGTTCTTGAATGAGGCTGAGATTGACGAGTTCTTGAGATTATTGTGTCGACTTATGGAGTTGTTAGAGTTAGATTCTTGTGTACATGTGTTGGGTATCTAAATCTAGAAAGATGTTGAGCAAAAGAATCGAATTTAGGCAAATTGGGGTTAGAAATCGAAGAAGGAAAAAGTTAGGCGAATCTGGCAACTCAGTCCGCGTCGTGGACCTGCCTCCCCATTTCAAATAATTTTCTTCACGTCGCGGAGAGGTCACGGACCTCTCTGTGCCTCAAAACTTAATTTTAAAGCAAATATTAAAATGCATCTCCGCATCGCGGTCTTGATTCGAGATAGTGAGTTCTTGATTTTTTCTCATGTTTAACTATATAAAAACACTCCTAAACATCACGAAATCTTTCCCATCACAAATCGCAACCTGGAATTCATAAATCAAATTCAAGGTAGAGTTAAGAGTTAAGTATTTGAGAATTCTTTCAAATATTCTAAGAAAGTCCCTTTTAGCCATTTTGAGGAGTCTTCTACAATTTCTAGTAACTTGTTTCAAGACTCAAATAAGTGAGCACGAGAGTGTGGAGAATATATTCATGAGTCTACACTATTACCTAGATCCTTCATATCATGAACCATAACTCTTTAATTCATAATTCACATTCAAGAGAGAGTTAAGAGTAGAGTTTAAGAAATCCTTTGAGTTCAATTGTGAAACATTTTAGATCAACTATTGATTTGAACTAAGCTTTGAGGAAGTAAGTCAGAGAATGAGAAGAGTCGTATACATGAGTTCCATGTAGTTTGTAGACCTTCGAGTCGAGTCGTTCATGCTCATAAATTCCGCATGAACTCCATAAAATGAGTATCATTTAGAGGGGTAGTATCTTCAAGTTCTAAGTCTTGAGTATTAAGTTCCAAATCCTCTTTGAAATTATATTTCTAATCATGGGACTATTACATGTTACCCATGAATTCCTTGAGTTGAGTAGTTCATGCTCATAATTTTGCATAAACCCTATGAGTTGTGCATTCTTGAAATGAGTAGTATCATTGAAGTTCTTAAGTTCTAAGTATTGAGTTCTATCTATGATTATTGAAAAGCTTGCATTGAGTCGTTCACGTCCATAATTCAACATGAACCATGTTTTAAGGAGTCTTTTACAAATGTTTTAACTTTGTTTTAAGACTTAACCTTTGAAGTTGAGTAAAGAGTAAGAGTAAAGTCCATTTTCTTTAAAATGATATATGGGAACTAAGTATTCCCAAGAATAAATGTTTTCACATTTAAGATGAGAGGGAGCTAAGATTTCCAAAAGAGTTTTGAGCAAGAAAGGGAACATCGAGCTGAGTATTTTGGGAGTAGTATTAAGCACCGATATGGGGACCAGCAATGGTTCTTGAGTGCCAACCACATCCAGGGTGTAGGCTCGGGTCATGACAAACTTTGTATCAGAGCATAGAGTTCAAGAGTCTTAGGGTATCTATGATGCAGTGTCAAGTAGGGTCTTGTTTATGGTTGTGAGGGCCATACTTCTATAAATGAGGGACTATAGACATTTAAGAAAAGTTTCCCTTCTTTCATACG